GGGGAATTGATGTTGATTTCACTTATCTATATAACTCAGGAATAAATATAGACAAAATAGGCAACGAATATGGCCAGGACCCTAAGTGTGACCTTCTGGGCCCCATATGATTTGCACAGTGAGCAGGCAACATTCCGACCAGCACACCCCACCTGCCAAGCCCATCTGCCACAAGCTCAGTGGCAGCCGGCAAGTCACACATTATGACCTACAGGATTCCTCAAAAGTGCCAGCAGTCTTGGGGAGCTGGGGGGTAAAGGAATGGAGAGAACATGCCTTGCCTTGCCCTGGGAGGATATGGGACCGTGCTCCTACTATAAACATCAGATTGGCTTAGACTTCTGGTTAATATCAAAGGAGTTCTGAAAAGCCTCCATAAATCATGAAATATTGGAAGCATGAAATTAATCAGAGCCAGAAACTTGACTTCAGGGGTCCTCCGAAGGCATTTTCCAAAGACCATGGGAAGACAGTAAATAACAGCCAATCAATAACTAATTTCAACCATGCTGTACTGATCTGTAAGTAATCTCTTTGCAACCACGCACGGTGATTTTCGGGAAGAACTTTGAAGTCCCATCTCATGACAGCCTACCAGATTAGGAAAAGACACATGTCTCTTTCAGCCCATTGATATAGCTGGAAAACCAAGACGGATGTGACTCGAGGTCCGTAAGTTGGGGGCAAGCTAACAGAAGGGGCTAACAGAAGGGGACTTCTAAGATTCCACCCCATTTTGTTCCATCTTCTCTGACATTTGAAAATTCTTTCTCCAAAAAAAAAAAAAAGATAAAAGTCGACTTGAGAAAATAACAGCGTAGGTAGAATGAATTGGGAAGGGGATGCCAAAAGACAGAACTTATTTTGCAAAGCCACAGTGTCTAGTGTTCTGCAGACTGCTCACACATTCAATTCAGTCGAGAGGTAATTCATACTTCACGGCAGAATTTCCACTATTGTAGTGATGCTAGATAAGAACAGTCAGACCTGAAGTAACAGCCTATGTTAGCGCCTAGGGAGAAAAAAATAAAGCTTGCATCTATTTATGGAAATTGACCAAGGTGTAGGAGAATGACCCTTTTCTCCATCCCAGTCCTAACAAATGCAGTAGGCTCGGAGTCCTCAACACCCAAAAAAGATGCTATCAGCACTCCCACTTGCATAGGCATATAAATACAATTACTTCATTAAAAAAAAAAAAAACAACCAACAAACTAAGAGCAGTTGGCATACATCCTACGAGGCACAAGTATTTTATGGTATATAGAGTTTACACCTATTTGAATCGGGTACAACGGAGCTTAATTGTTTTATTCTATGCATAGCAAAGCAACCAATTGAATCTAATATTAGTCATTCATCAGATAAATCATTTTCAGAGAAACAAACTGCTATATTTTCCCCTCAAACAACAGCAAGCATTTTAAACACATTTTCCAGAGATGTTACGCCGAGGAAAACAGCTTAGAAATGTTACTTTAAACAAATCCGTTCTCTGGCTACCAACAACAAGACAAATTGGAACAAATGCTTGGCTCTGTTCTTTCTGAGGCTCCTTCTGTCCACCTGTCAAAGGCAGTTCTGACCCCCCCGCCGCTCCAACCCAAGACGCAGCTCCGGAGCTGTGAAATGTGCCACCCTGCCTGGATACCCTCTACACTGGATGCCAGCATCCTCATTAGGGATTATCCAACTCACTCGAAGCAGGGAGAGAGGAGATGGGCTGGCTGCCAAGTGTTCTTTCAACACAGATTCCGAAAGAAGATCCTGCAAAGTGTCGAAAGCCCAGATTTTCAGCAGTTCACTTTCTAGACTCTGTTACATAGCAACCAAGCCAGCTCACACAGGGTACCAACCAAGTTAATATTTTGTTTAAATGACACACTGGATTAACTCTCTAGAAAAACCCCAAGTTTTCTTCGTCGACTTACCTAGTGTCAGGTGCCATCGCTGGAACAAAACTCCTGTGGTGAATTGACGAGCTTGTGTAATTCAGTAAAAAAAAATTTAACCCAAAATTTGAAAATAGATCTAACAATTTCTTGGCAGGGAGAGCAAGAGGTGACTCTTCCCCGTAACCACTTGTGCTAATGTTATTAAAAGTGCATTAGCACTCATTTAACATGTGCATAATGCCCTTTAGTAAAATATGCCTTCTACAAATACATTTTGAGAGATACTCATTTCATTCAAAACTTTGATTTGAAAAAGGACAACTCAATAGCACCAAATGCTTCTAGGGCTTGGGCCCATTAAATCTCCCCAACACAGACAAAATTAAAACAGAAGACAAATTCAGAAGAATAGTCAGGTACCCCCAGGAGCCGAGCTTGAGGTGCATTACGAAGAAGCATGAGGAAACCAATCGACAACACTTAAGAATTAACTTGAGAGAACCCCACGCTTTCCTTTAGGAATACGAAAGCACCAGCCGAAGAAACCACCAGAACACATCTATAGCGGGTTTCTGTTCTAGCAGAATGCTGCCATAGGTCATGAGAGCAAACCAAAACAAGAAAATAAAACCGAAAAAACTCACAGAGGCTAACTAATGTAAAAAGTACTGGATTAGGGGCGCCTGGGTGGCTCAGTTGGTTGGGCGACTGCCTTCGGCTCAGGTCATGATCCTGGAGTCCCTGGATCGAGTCCCGCATCAGACTCCCTGCTCGGCGGGGAGCCTGCTTCTCCCTCTGACCCTCCCCACTCTCATGTGCTCTCTCTCATTCTCTCTCTCTCAAATAAATAAATAAAATCTTAAAAAAAAAAAGTACTGGATTGGGGTACTCCTGCAGAGCTAAAGTAAGTGATACCCTACCGGATTATATGGGGGAGCTTGTTCTCTTTTCAACCATAACTTTCGTTTAAATTCACATCAATTTAGAGGGATATGTGGCCAACAATTATGTTGAGTTAAAACCTTTAACATTTTATTCTCTGATTATAAAATCACTGAATTCCCCCTGGTAAAGGTGTCGAAAAATATCAAGGATACACGGGAAAAATCAAGACCATCCTTCATCTAGCCCCCCACAGACAGCTTACTAACATGGGCAGGCATACTCCTAGGAGCATGAGGGTACATGCCGGTTTTGGGTGTTTTGAAGGATATCAAGAGATCCAAAAGTCATTTCCACAGCCTAGGGCATTTTTGTAGGAAAAGAGAAGAAGGAAACCGCCCCTTGTTCCTCCACTACAACAATTTAACCATCAGCTAAGCATCTCAATTTCCAAGTTGGGTGCATGGATCACCGCCGTACTGACCTCCTTAGCATCCTCAGTCTGCAACTGGACCCAGGACTCAAACGAAAGCCACTTAACTTTTCCTTGGCTGAGAAGAAGGGGCAGACGGTGGGAAATAAACCAGCATTGTTCAGTCCTCCTTACCATGGCTTTTGATTCTTAGCAGAATGCCAGTTCTTAGCTATTTCTTTAATGTTGGAAGAGTCTCTGCCTATAAAGAAGAAAGCATTACCATGCAGTCTAGCCTCTTTTTTTTTTCTCCCTCCAGATGCCAGCGGAGAGCATCTTTCCACACAGTGACAGCGCAAGGGATAAATGACAGAATAAGCAGATACCCACCTTGAAAACTGCAGCAAATAACAGCTTTACAACACCTTCCCACCATTACGTCATGGTTACTTCAGTCCCAAATTCCCGCCCTAATTCCTAGGACTTCTGACTGACTCCGCGAAGTACCAAGTTAACATGACTTGGAATTCAGCATAAAACTAAGTACAGGCTTAACATCTCGCACCAGGAAAAGCACACCTTCCCCAGGAAGGTAAGGAGCAAACAGAAACTGATGGGGAGAAGGCATTAATACGAACACGGACACTCTCTCGCAACACTTAGGAGAAGGTCTCGGAACAACAACAAAACCAGAAAATTCCTCTGAGCCACTGAGCTATGGGTACCTCATACTTCATCAAGTGACATATTTATACAAATGGCCCTTCTAGACTGGATCATTTTTCTGTCAGATTCTGGATTTCAGCAGTTTAGTTTATTAATCAAATGATATTAATAATCAGTGGTACCATTTCTTAAAGAGCAATTAGGCAAAAAAAAAAAAAAAAAAAAAAAAAAAACACTGAAAAGCCAGTCTACCCTTTTACTTTTCAATTCACAGAAACCCAACAGGACATTTTTGGATGCTTCCTCCACCTTTAACCCTCCCCGGGATTTCAGGGCTTCATCACTGTCAATGTCAACAAGGTCCAGCTGTCTTTTTTCCCCCTCCTCCTCTAAAATGCAAAGAGTCCCTTCCAGCAGCAGCTCCCTGCAACCCACCATCTAAACCTTCATTTCGCCAGGAGCCCATCATCACTCAGCCTTTGAGGTCTAAGATTTCCCCCTGGAAAGTGCTCTCGGTGTTTGTATTTGCTGGAAATTTAAACTCCCTGCTGAGCAGAGCATCTACTGTTGCATCGATATATTCCGCTGTCTGCGCGATCTCAGATGGGGAGAAAATAAAGTCCAGATGCAATTGAGACAAGGGATTTGGCATCCGTGGAGAAAAGTGCAAGCCAGTCCAATCCTCTACCCCAACCAAGGCAGCAGAGCCCGGAGCTCGCTCTCGGGGAGAGTCTCTCGGAAGGAAGGAGCCTCCGGAACTGGGGGGGAGCTGTGGCATTCACCCCTACCCGGGGTGGGGGCAAAGGCCCGGGCACGAAAAGTTTGCCCACGGAGCTGGGGGCTGTGTGCCACCTAAAGGGCACTTTCTGCTGCGGGAGGGGCGCCGCCGGCTGCGCCTTGCTCCCGCCGGCCGGGGCCGGTGTGACGGCGTGAACCCGTGCACACGGCGCCGGGGTTTTCCTTAATGACAGCAGCCTGCAACTCGCGGCCGGGGAGCAGCGGTGGCCACCGCCGGGAGGACAGGGTTACCAGCCACAAGGCGAGGCGAGCTCGCCCCGGGCGTGGGGGCACCGAGGCCCGGCCACCTCCGGCCCGGGTCCTGCTCGCTCGCCCCCCCCTCCGCCCTGGGCGCGGGCGATCCCTACCTTGCGCGCCGTGCTGGTGGTTCTCCATGTTCGCCGCCGCCGAGTCCGCCGCCGCCGCCGAGGCGCTGGCCGCTGCTCCCGGGCCCGGGCCCGGGCCGCCGCCGCCGCTCAGTTCCGCCAGTCTCCGGTTGGTGGCCGTGAGTTCGGCTCGCAGGTTGGTCACCTCCTGGCTGGCCGACTGGACCGCCCCATCGATGCGGAGCGCGAGCTGCTTATTGTCTTCCATCATGCTCAGGATTTTGGCCTGGGGGCGAGAGAGGTGACAAAGAGCTGCATGATGCGCGGGGGGGTGGGTGGGGGTGGGGGCGCGAGGCCGGGCACCCCCGGCTCTACCTGTTGGGTCCCCCGCGGCCCGGCTCCCCCGCGCCCCGACCCCCAGGCACCGGCAGCGCCGGCTCCTCCGGCGCAGGAATGACAGCGGCGCCTCCAGCCGGAGCCGCGGCGGTAGCGAGGCGGCGGGGGGAGGAGGAGGAGAAAGAGGAGGAGAAGGAGGAGGCGGAGCAGCGATCGCCGAGACCCCGGCGCCGAGCGCGGTTCGGGGAAGGACACCGCGCGCCGCCCGGCACTCTTGCACTGGAGCCTACCATTCGCCGCGCGCTCGGAAGGGGGCCCGGGCCGGGGCCCCGGGCGCACCCGCGGCCTCCCGCGCCCCCCACTTCGGGGACACACCCCCCGGGGGGCGGGGGCGGCGGGCGGCGGCCGCGAGTGGGCCGAGGTGGCGCCCCTGGCGAGGGGTAGGGGGTGCCTGCTCCAAGGCCGGCCCTCGGTCCCCTCCCGGGAGCGGTGGGGCAGCCCCCGCCCTGGCTAGCAGGCGCCCCGCGCCGGGCCGGGGTTGGGAAGGGGGTGGGTGCTCGGGAGAGAGGGGTGCTCGGGAAAGAGGCCGGGGAGGGGAGCAACGGGGACGGAGCTCCAGGGGAGGGGGCAGCTGGCGCGATCTCGGGAGTGGAGCTTTGCTTTCCTTAAAATGCGGGTAGGCAATGTGCAGCGGGGAGCTGAGCTGGTGCCCTGAGTGCCTCTCACTCTCCACCCCACTCCCATCTCCACCACCCCCACCTCCTCCGCCCCAACCTGCACTGTGTGTCCTCCCCCGGGGAGGAGCTCTCCCGTCCGGCCCCGGGGTGGGCCACCACTGGAGCTCTGGTCTCCTCACCGTCCCAAACTCCCGCGTGTGCACCCGAGGTGGAGGACTGGCCTTAGCCAGGTCCTAAGCTTCTTGGCCGGGCTAAATATTGGGGGGCGAGAGGGATGAGGCCAGGAGGGAAGAAGACTGGAAGGCATCAAAGGGGCTTCCCTCTTTCTCCTTCTTACTGGAGGAGTGGGAGTGTTGAGGCCCTGCTGACTCAATTTACCCATTCCCTCTTCAAAGGAGAACTGAGATAACCTTAAAGTTGATAAACCTACCCAACTCCTCTTTCTCCCAGAGCGCAGCCTTTGCATTTTTCACTGGGGCCCTGGATTCCAGCCACCAGACCTTGTTACCATAGCAAGCTTCATTCCATGCAAATAGGACAATTCGAAACAGCCAGTGTAACCCCAAGGACAACAGGACACCACCTTTCCAGCTCAGTCAACCTAGGAGAGTAGCTCAGAGCCCGCGGCAGACACTAATGGTGCCCTCCCTTGAGATTTATCAGCATCTACTAAGTAGGAAGCCTACTGTGTGCAAAGTGCTCAGGCTGCATTATCTCTTTGGAGTAAGAGTTAGGAATTCGACTTTAGAGAGGAAGAAGCTGAAGCTCTGGGTTGGGGGTTAAGCAATTAACGCAAGCGCCCCCCCCCCGGCAGAAACCAGGTGAAACCAAGACTGGAAGTAAGCAGTCATCTGATTTCCAATTAGTCCCAGTGTGCCTTGGATGCTAGACTTTTATTTGGAACCATAAAAACCCACTCTTGCTCCAACCCCCTGGGGCCACTAACAAGCTTTTGTAAGAGGGCAAGCCCGCATTGGTAGAATGTGTGGCTGCAGACGTAGTTTTTCCACTGTCTACTCTTCTGAGCTAACTGGTCAGCTGGGGATTGAACCCCTGACCTGTGTCTCATTAGCGGGAATTCTGACCCACTGGACCAACGAAGAAACTTAGGCTGCTTGGTGTATCTGTAAATCAGGATTCAGTTCTTTGAAGTCCTTTGGTTAAAGGAGTCTTCCGAAGGGGCGCTGTCATAGTTCAGCCACTATGGAAAATGGTTTAGTGGTCCCTCAAAAAGTTAAACACAGAATTACTATATGACTGAGCAATCACAGCCCTAGGTATATAGCCAAAGAGTTGAAAACTGATGCCCCCAACAACAGGCTGTCCACAAATGTTCACAGAAGCACAATTCACAATAGCCAGAAGGTGGAAACAACCCAGATGTCCAACCACAGGTGAATGGATAAACCAATTGCGATATATCCATACAATGGGCTATTATTCAGCCTTGAAAAGGAATGAGGCATTGACACCTGCCACAATGTGCATGAAGCTCAGAAATAGTATGCTGAGTGAAAGAAGCCAGACACAGAAGGTAACGTGATTTCTTTTCTGTAGACTAGCCAGAATAGGTAAATCCAGACAGACATGTGTGCCAGGGGCTGGGGAAAGGGGAGAATGAGGAATAACTGCATAATGGGTACTGGGTTTTATTTTGGGGTGATGAAGTGTTTTGGAAGTAGACAGAGGTGTGGTTGCACAATGTTATGAATGTACTAAATGCCATTGAAATGTTTGCTTTAAAATGGTTCATTTTAGGGGCGCCTGGGTGGCTCAGTGGGTTAAGCGTCTGACTCTTGATTTCAGCTCGGGTCATGATCTCAGGGTCGGAGATTGAGTCCTGGGTCTGGCTCTGTGCTGGGCGTGCTTAAGAGTCTCTCTCTCCCTCTGGCCCTCCCCCCTCTTAAAAAAAAGGTTCCTTTGATGTTATGTGAATTTCACCTCAATAAAGACAAAAGTCAGCACAAATGCAAATAGCAGTAAAAGGGGGGAAGGCAAGTCCTGGGAACAAACTTTCCGAGGACACAATCAGGAGCAGCTCTATCTGGAGAGCTCACCCAGAGCTTCGTCGTGGGAGAAAGAAGGTGGTCAGTTTTCATGCGTGATTTGTCTTTGCATCCATGCCACCTAACCCATAGTAAGCCCTCTGCAAATGAATGTGTGTGAGCGTGTTCATACAGTAAACAGACTGACCAAGTGTTACTCATTTTCCTCTTCAGTGAGATTACTCCCACCCACCAGAATCTTAAAATCAAGTCAAAACAAAACAAAACAAAACAAAAAATCTAACAAGGAGAAAAGAAAGCAAACACCCATTCTTTGAGTTCCTTCTTTCTCTCTGCCTCCTCTTTTCCCCAGCTGTAATACAGCCATTGAAATGTCAAGAAACTCACTTTAGAAACTCCTGGGGTGCCTCCTAGGATTTTAAAGAATTTTATTTTTGAGAAATTCCTTCTTAACATGAAAAGGGGGGTGGGGCTTTTACCAGCTGTGTCTCCTTATGTTTACCCACATGCAAAAGGGCCAGATCTTAGACAGAAAGCCTGGGATCAATTACCCTCTAGAATCCATTTGATTTAAACCCAAAAGATTACTAGTCTACCCCCCAACTTCCACCACTGCTCCTTCTTAGGTGATCTCAGGTAACAAAAAGGTCACAGAATCCACATCTCTGCCCCCTTGCCTAACACCCTATTGCAAGCCCACTTACCTGTCTGCAGGCTGATGTGCATTTGCAACTCATTTCTTGGGAGACACATATAAATATGGGGGAGGGGCTCCAGAGCTGTCTTTTAACCACAGCCCTCTCTCTTTGGGGTCCACAACTCTGAGCATGTGATCTTAAATGTTCCTAAAGTAGCCCCAGCCTCACAGCCCAGTAAGCTGACGTTAAGAACCATGCCAGAAAATGGGCTTGCTTCATAGGGATCTGCTCCTGTTTCCCCATGTTCCCAGTTGCCATCCTTCCCCATCTGCCAAACCCCATTCAAAGCTCAGGCAGTGCACTGGCTGGCCCTTATGCACTCACCAGCCTCTGCCAGTATTTGCTGAGTGCCCATCTTCCTGAGCAGAATGAGCATCTGAGCAGAATGTGCCATGTTGCATTTGATGCCCTTCAAAGTTTACCTGGGCATTTTGGAAAGTCTGCAAAACCATCGTTGCTCAGAGAAAGAAAACTCCTGATAAGAACCAAGGCAGAGAGCACAGCCCATTGCTGACAGCCATGTCCTATGCACCTCCCTTCTCCCATAAATAGAATGACCTTATAATTTAATGTCCAAACTGGGACACTTTTGAGAGTAAGAGAGGGTGTTATGAATAATGAAGCTGGGATAAGTGGCATAAATTGGAACTGTCCCAGGAAACCCAGTAGATGTGGTTGCCCCACCCTGCAACCAAATGAGGCTATCTGGTCCTAGAAGGCAACTTTGGGATCATTTATTCCAGCACTCCTGTTGTATACTGGTAGATGGAGAAACACAGAGCCGGAGACAGGAAGGGGCCCTGAAACCGTGTTGGTTAAGGAGTTGGGAGGGATGAAAAGCAGAGTCTTTAGAAAATGACCCATCATCCCCATCATCCTACTAATGTGTATCCAGCACCATAGACTGTCAGACTGGACCACTGGTGCAGGGGCACTTCCTAAGTTCTAGATCTGAAAGAGCAAGGTCACAGTCTTGTGCAATCTGGCCTCTGACTTCATCTTGTACCACTCTCCCCTTGCTAACTACCCTCCTATCACTTAATTCTTCTGTTAAGATGTAGATCCCTAGTCCCACACCCGAGCAACCAGGATCTCTGAGGAGTTTCTAGGGACCTGCATTTGCAACAAACTTCCCCGGACTGTCTGGTGGACTGCGAAGTTTGAGACTCACTGCCCTAGGCACCCAGGGCAGGTGCTCATAAAGCACTGTGCACACGTGGGAGACACATAAATGCAAGGAAGCCTCTGGACCTCAGGTATGTCTGCAAGGGCTCCCTGTTCCCTCTCTTCTGGGTGCTGTCTGTCCTGTCTTCCCCACCCTCCTCCACCTGAGAGTCCCTAGGGAATCACCCTCCCTCCCTGCAGATGGATGCTCTGTTTATTCAAATTGTCACATGCAAATCCCGGCCAATCTAGGAGTTGTATCTTTTGTACATTTACACAGTTTACTTTGGCTGAGTGGGTCTTAACATGTGCTCTGGGGAAAGGGCAAAGCATCTCTCAGCGAGGGGCAACCAGGACTTGGGCCTCTGGGTGAGAAGACCAGGAGGGGGACAGAGCCATAGACAT